GATGATCTCCCCCTCTTTTGTCGAAACTAGTCATTGCTTGCTTTAGCTTTGATGGGTGACACACTTTGGGGCACATTTTGAAAGAGTCCATCTGATTGCCCAGCCTTTTGAGCTGCAGATGGGAATCACTCAGTCCATGGATGATTTTTGTGAAGTTTGAAAATGCATAGCAAGTTATCCGATGCTAGAATCTAAACAAAGAACATATGAAGCAGGCATACTGTGTGCCTGGAATGTATGGTTAATTCTTGTTGTGTTGCTGGCTAAATCGTTCAGATAGTAATTGATTCCTCTGTGGAGAATCTTTGCTTAGAATCAACTAATTCTTCTTAAATTTACTTGGGTTCTTACATATTCTAAATTATAGCTGGAATATATATTTGGTTCTCATCCTTGAGAATTCCTCAAAATCAGTATTGCCATCAGTTATGGTGCTGGAGGATTTTTGCCTTTGATGTTCCAAGGTAGAGAAAGTGGCAATAAAGGAATCTGAAGGGGGGGGGGAAGCTGTTTGAATCTATATGTTTCTAAAATATAATTTCTTCTAAGAAAATGTGACTGTTTGACTTGGTGCCACATAAAGAGGTGCCTCCTGTTACGTGGAAGAAATTTCAGTAAAGAAAAGGTTTTTTTTAAATGTGGTAGAACAGTGTGGTTGCTTTCTATGCAAATATTATACAGCGAGTCCTTATTTTGCTGTTTAAATCCAGTGAACAGCCTTGCTGACATCTTTGCAAAATAATTTGAAACAAATGTTTCCGTCTTTAAAATGAGAACTCCAAAGGTTTACTTGATCCAGTAATTATACAGTTGCTCAGAAGACTGGCATGCCGTTTGAGGTTTATTGTGTTCCATGTTACCAGTATGGTAACAATATGAAGCAGAAGATAGATGGCTCAAGATACAGTTTAGGACTTTATGGATATCAAGCAATCATGAAGCTGCTCCCACCCAACTATGTCACCAATGACTTTAATACTGTGTGCCTTTGTCCATGTGTTTAACAACTACGGGAATGGGAGGACTTGGCCGAGCACATCTTTCCCCAGCCATGACCATGCTGGCTAGGAATGTTGAAGGTTGTACTCAAGCAGATCTGGAGGGCATCAGGTTGGGAAAGGCTAGCCTAAAAGCCAGCTAGCTCAGAGGAGTAGTCTACTAGGTGACATGCTGGGGTTTCACTGCAAGAGATTATTATGGCATCATTGTTTGTATTTAGTCAAAGCATTAGAGGTTATTCCCCAAAAAACTATAGATATTTTATTACCTTTTGTGTTTTACATTTACTATAGCTCTAAAATTTATACCCATTGTGATGTTCATTTACTAATGTAATTTTATGCTTCCCCCCCCACTCCTAGTAATGATACTGCAGTTTTTTATGTCCTTAAAACTTGACATAAATGATAGATACAGAGGGCTTGTAAAAATGCAGATACACTTCCAGCAAAGAGTGAGATTTTTTATTATGCTTTGGTGAGACCCAGGTTCTTGAGAGTGGTTGGTAGGCTATAAGAAGCAAAAGGTTGAGAACAAGTGGACAGGACGACATTTGAGTCTTCATCTCTCTAGACCTTATTGGGGTATTTATTTGATTTACCACGGAGCAGGAAGGATAAAGCACTTAGGAGAGGAGCGATGGCCATTTTGGGGTTGCATTTCCTATAGCCTCCCCCACCATTGGCTATGCCAGCCTTGGTTGTGACTGCACACTCCCCACTTCTCAGGTAGCCAAGACACACTGAGGCCAAATGATGGAATATCAAAAGTGAGTGCTCAAATACAAGATAGAACGTATTTCTCAAAAGTACTCTCTTGACAGCAACGGCAACAAGGAAGCCATCTGCTCTTCTTGAATAATGTCAGACTAAGTTGTGGAATGCAATGATGATATGCTTGGGATGTACTTTACCCACTTAAGAGCATATGCTGAAGATAGTGAGTAGGTGCCTCCTCTAAGGACTGTGAGCATGAATTTCACGTGCATGGAAGCTTTTTTAAGACTGCAAAAGGAAGAGGATTGAAAGTACACGTGTCTGTGTTTGCATGAATAAATGCACAGTTCTATGGATTTTTAATTTGGAGGCTCTTGTAACTTTTAAAGTGGTATTCTTGACATTTGGCACAAAAGATTATTTCTGAAGGAAAACAAGCAGAACACTAATCTTGGTTTAATTATATGCAATCACTAGTAATGGATCATGGCTTATATTGTAGTTTTCTAATATTTTGTCTACTGCTTGCAGGACTTTTCTTATTGGGTGGTTTAAAGGTATAATAAAATGAGCTCTAAGATGTGATTGTGACTGAATACATAAGATGTTTTAAATTCTTCCTTCCCTTGCCAGATGTTTAATATCCCTTCAAGTCTGGAGTACTGTTTAGTTCAGTTGCTTTTAACTTAGACCTGTTTGTTCTGCCAGTGAGGTGGCTGTTAATGAAGCCGTACACCTGCTCTCAGCTTGTGCCTGGCTATTGTGTGTATTGCTTAGGGGGTCATCTGGGGAGTCAGGCTGTTGTCAGCTGGTGTTGCTATTATGCAAATGTGTGCTGTTAGCTGGAGGCTAGATGAGTGTGATTGCCTGCCACTCTCACCCTTTACTACAAAAGTCTTTGGGCATCTAATTATCTCAATTTGCTGCTTGTATGGAATAGTTTTGTAGCATTTTCCCCCTTTTCGGGTCTGGTTTCCATATATCCTTTGCTAAGAGATGCCCCCTTTCAAGGGCTGATACTCATATTAGAAGGTTTGAATTTAGTTCTTCAGTTTAACATCTTTCTCTCTTTATTCACATCACAGCATCACACATTTTTAAAATCATGGACGCATGTGAAATAGAGGTAAAATTAAAATGGGTTGTTTGGTCTTCTTTAGTATGATTTTTAAGTTAAAAAGAATGGGTTTTTAATGCTTACTATAGTGATTGACGTAGATTACATGGAGACACCTCTTAAGGTCATTCAGTGTCAGTAGAAACTGGTGTATTATATAGAATTAAACAGAGTCCATAAAGGATATAAAGAAAGCTTCTCGAGGTTTTATCCAGGAGTGATCTCTTTGGGTCTGGCTGATGAAAAAAAACTATCAGTTCACACTTCCATTTCCCTTTTCACTGTATCCACAATTATGTGCTCCTCACATCTCTTTGTTTTGTTCCATTCTTTTAAAGCGTTGAACAATTAAATGCTGTGCTTCATGCTAATGGAGTCAGCTAATATGTAAGCAGCTGGATATTATGCAGCAAAATAATTAAAATCTTGTAAAAGAGCAGGAAAAAGGAGCAGAAGCTACTGTGGTCCCATGGAGTTTGCCTGCGTAGGCAGTCTTCCCTGCATGTTGAGTCAGCAGCTTTGGTGCAAAGACCATGGGTATGGACTAAATGTTACTTGTGGTCAGTCTAAAAATGACTGATAGCAGAGAAAGTCAGTCTTAATTTGTATCCAAGGAGTTTTCCCAAATAAAGAGCGCCACTCAGAATCACCAAACCATTGGGGTTTAGGAAGCTTGGCCAGTGGATTTTGGTTGCTGTTTCTTAAATGCCTTGTAAAAGATTGCTGACTGTGGAAGAAAGATATAATTTCTTAAAACATTTCTTCCTAAGGTTGCACTCTTTTCAAATGTGACTTCCAAATTTCTGTAAAGCAGCTGGTCTAAATGACATTTGCGTTTTTTATAAGCACCAAATGTACATTCACTCACTTGCCAGATATCTTTAAGAGTTCTGAATCCAAAAAAACACCTACATCTTGGAGCATTTCTGTGCTGCAGCACTTTTAAAATTCTCGCCCTTGTGAAAAAAGACATTAATCTCAGCATGCCTCAAGAAAATATTGGATAACGAGAGTAAAAAATGATTCCATGGTAGTTCTGAAATGTGCCTGCTAGTACTTTTGTACTACGGAGAGGAATATATGGCCCTCTAGATGTCATTTGACTACAATTCCTACCTTCCCCAGCTGTCATAGCCTTACTGAAGCACACTGGAAGTTGCAGTCTTAACAGCATCTGGACAGCCACATGCTTAAGACTGGTATGTCCAGTGTCCGTAGGACAGGGAATGTGGCTCAGCTTTTAGCCCAGATTTTGAAGGAGCTGTCCAAGGTGTTGAACCCATTCTGGAGATAAAGTTGCACCCTTTGGGTACTTCCAGTAAAGGTCAGGTTAAAACCCAAAATGGATTTGCTGCCCCACTGACATGGAAGCCACCAATGTGGCTATTTGGATTTCCTGCTACATACATTTCTTGAATAATTCTATGTCTGTCTTGATAATGAAGCCCTAGAGTTAGAGGATGTGTCATGATAATCACGAGGGGTGCCTCTGAAAGCAATCTTCCATGTGATTACTTGCTTCCATTATAGCTATAAGACATAGTGTCAATACAGTGTGGGCTGTCGTGTTATTCTGACAACTGCTCTTGAGTTTCCACATCACTGAAATCCCTTTCTTTAGAGGTATCCACATAGTTGTTGGTGTTCTTTTTAATGTCCTGGTTGTAACCAAATTTGTGGAGGATTCTTGCTGTGCATGGTGTTCACTTCTGACCTCTATCACACTTTAATCTGTAGTCAAATGAAATATATAGATCTTTGAGGGTCTGTATCTTAATTCCGTTGATAAGGTTGTTGTCCTGCTCTGTGTTACAAAAATCTTGAAAAGAGATGTGCCATTGTGTTCCAAAACTGCTTTGCTTGAGCAATGTATGTGTGCTGTAAACAGAACATCAAGTTTGCAAATTCTCCTGTTGTGTACTCCAGCAGACTGCAGAGTGGGTGGTGCTGATTTGTAACATCCAGAATTATTCTCCCTCATCACCAGGTTTGTTCAGTCTATCACCAGGACTTGAATAACAACCGTTCTGTTGCTTTCTGGATGCTGATGGATGTGACCTAGATAGAATCATTTTGCAGTTGACTGCAGCCGCCAAAGACTGTGATGTATATATCAAACATGGCATTTACCTGTTCTTTCCTTTACCCCCTTGCACTTTATTCCCTAGTTTTGCCTTGTCAGATGAAGCATATCGATCACTGAGAGACCAGGATAAAGACCAATGTATACTTATAACTGGAGAGAGTGGAGCTGGTAAAACAGGTAAACATGTCTATCCTTAGACCAACTGTGCTATCTGGGTTATTGATGGGTGATGCCTGGGTCTTTCTCTTCCTCCCATCCGGTCTGAGCTCCCAAGTATAGGTCTTCTCTTCCTCTTGTGAAGCTTCCTCCCTGCTCCTTTCGTTTCTCAGATGCCATAAGTGTGCTATCCCTGTTGTGATCTCTGCAGATTGTTCAATTCTTGCTGTGGCTCTTGGGCCCAGTTCTCACGGAACTGTCTTAACTTGGACAAGGCCAACATGATTGGCAGGCCCCCTTTTGAGCACTGGGCCCTCTAGCCTCTCTTGGCTTCATACCGTTCTTGCTCTGCAAAAACTCATCTGCCCATCTTAATGCCAGAAAGAATACCCCCACCCAATTTGCTTTAGAGTAAACAGCGCTTGACAGAGTGTTCCCCTGTTGTCAGTTGATTGCTGTGCTAGTCTCTGACCGTAGTAAACTTTACTTATTACTATACTTGTTTGCAATCTGCAGGTTGCATGAAAAAAATTTCATTATATCGATTAATCCCGAACCACAAAAATGGTATTTGTAATGAAAATTGTGTGCACTATGATTCTACATATCACACAGTAATACATAACAAACAAGATGATAAATAAGGTGCATCAGCTGGTATTTACTTTAAGGGCTGCTAAAAGTAAAATCAAATATAACAGCAGGAGAGAGTATCAGGAAAACCTTCCTAACTGTTAGAGCAGTACGACAGTTGAACTAGTTACCTTGGAAGTTGGTGAGTGCTGCAACACTGGAGGCATTCAAGAAGAGCTTAGATAATCATCTGACAGATGTTCTTTGATTGTATTCCTGCACTGAGCAGGGTGTTGGACTTGATTGCCTTGTAGACCCCTACCAAATTAACTTTTCTATGATTCTATGATCTTTCATAGGTTGCAATCCAGTAATAAGTCACAACTAGAGTAGGCCCATTGAATCAATGGAATTTACAGAGGAATTGACTCACAGTATCCCCACTGATTCAATGGACCTATTCTGGTTGCAACTTTCAATTGAATTTCAGCCATTCTGCTATCCAGTGTGTACTGTATATGTTTATTGTGTTTCTTCATAATTATTTTTAAATGGAGGATGAAAAGGCCCTTGCAAGAGGATAGCACTTGGAAATTTTTTTTTGCCTGTTTCAGAGTGGAGAGAACAGGGAAATATGTTCTTACAAATGGTTTCCTGTGTTGCGTTTTTTTTCATACACTTTCATGTTCAGCATATATGAATGCACGTCATTTTGCTTCGTTGTTGATTTTACTTTTTCTAAAGTACTTAAATCCTCTCTTCCCATCCATCAGGATTCCCAAAGATTAACATTATAAAAAGAGAGTTTAAAAAAAAGTACTTCAGTGGTAGAGAAATATAAGCTGAACGAAGAGGTGAAAGAGCAATAACACAGACTTGTGAAGAGCAATAGCTGGTGATAAGTGCACTCCAGTGTTCCCTGGAGAAAATTGAGCTTATTTGAATGTCTAAAATGAGGAGTCCAAGTGACTCCTTCGTGTTGGCATGGTGTTTCATAGTCTAGGTGTCTCCATCCCCAAACCTTAGTTTCACAATGCCACCCAGTCCTGTTCTGGTGCTTCAACAAATGTGAGGGCTTGGAATTAACGTGTTAGAAGCAATGACATCACATGTAACATATGACTTTTCAGGTCACAGGTTATTAATATTATTGCTTTTTAAAAGGGAAAATAATGATACAAAATTACTTTTAAAATGGGGCAGCATGAAAAACTGTGTTTGTTTCCCACTTTGGTTTCCTGTGTTGCATTTTTTTTCTTCATACACTTTCATGTTCAGCAGATATGAATGCACATCATTTTGCTTCGTTGTTGATTTTACTTTTTCTAAAGTACTTAAATCCTCTCTTCCCATCCATCAGGATTCCCAAAGATTAACATTATAAAAACAGATTTTAAAAAAAGTACTTCAGTGGTAGAGAAATATAAGCTGAACGAAGAGGTGAAAGAGCAATAACACAGACTTGTGAAGAGCAATAGCTGGTGATAAGTGCACTCCAGTGTTCCCTGGAGAAAATTGAGCTTATTTGAACGTCTAAAATGAGGAGTTCAAGTGACTCCTTCGTGTTGGCATGGTGTTTCATAGTCTAGGTGTCGCCATCCCCAAACCCTAGTTTCACAATGCCATCCAGTCCTTTTCTGGTGCTTCAACAAATGTGAGGGCTTGGAATTAACGTGTTAGAAGCAATGACATCACATGTAACATATGACTTTTCAGGTCACAGGTTATTAATATTATTGCTTTTTAAAAGGGAAAATAATGATACAAAATTACTTTTAAAATGGGGCAGCATGAAAAACTGTGTTTGTTTCCCACTTCTAAAATGTTACTTTTTGGATAGTTTTGGGGGCATTTTGGAATATATATTTTAAACGTTTGAATGTTGTAGTTTTTAAAATTATGTGAAGCAGTTAAAAGCTATTAAAAAGTAACATGCTACTGATGAAGAATCACTTTACAAAATAACAAGCAATTCAGGACATTAATATCTTACTTTTATAAAAGAAAGTGGCCACTCCGTACTGGTTTGTACTTATTAGAGTACATTTCCAAACTCTTTAAATAGATAGCTTCACACAGGAGAAGACAATGTTTCAGAGGTTGTGGGCTCAAGCCATTTGGAACTTAAAAAGGCAATAAAAGCACCTTGAATTGAATCTAGAAACCAGGTGGGAGGCAGTGAAATTGATGCAAAATCAATATATAAAAAGCAGTTAATGTTCCTGGATCATTCTTAAGGTATTTGATTGGCACACTGCCCTGATTTGCATTTTCTAGTTTCTCTGCTTCAGTGCTTTTTAAATAGACATCTAAAAGAGCACTTGTTATAAGAGGAGGAGGTCTGTTGTTTAAGGAGGTAAGTTGACAGATGGTGGGGTTTCCATGTCAGGATGAAATGCATTTATGCACAGCCGATGATGAGGACTGGAAAATAGTAACTTTTGCTTCTCTATTTTGTCATCAGATAGCCGAAAATAAATTAAAATTTACATTTAATCTGGATTGTTATCAAATTCCTTTGAGTGTAGAACAAGTGACTCCATGAAGTAACAATTTTTTTTTGTCATAATTATTTTTGTTCTCAATTTTCTTCAGAGTGTAAGGCATTTGTATTGAAAGAAATGATGTAAAATATGATGGTTAAACATCTAAAACAAATATTTATCATATGGTGTTTTCCACCAGATTTCTTTTTTCCCCCTAAATGTCGTTCTGCTAAATGTACAATAAGAAATCAGACATAAAACATGAAAACAATGAGCCTGAATCTTTTTTATAGAATCTTATTTCTGGTAGACTCATTCTAGGTTTGTACTATAAAATATAATTTCAGGTGCAGTGTTTCTAGATAAATCTCTCTCTCTTTTAACTCATAGAGGCAAGCAAACTTGTTATGTCATATGTAGCAGCTGTTTGTGGCAAGGGAGCAGAAGTGAATCAAGTAAAAGAACAACTTTTACAGTCTAATCCTGTGCTTGAAGGTAAGAATCTAGTAACTCGTCTTGCTTATAGTAATTGTTACAATAACATTTGTTGACCACCAGGGTGGATTTGATTTAAACCATGATTTAAATTTTTTAAAATTGGATTTTTTGGGGGACAATTTAAATTTTAAAAAATCAATTAAAAATATTAAATTGTGATTTAAATTAATTTAATTTTTAAAAAACTTATTAATTTTTATCCACCCTGTTGACCAAAAAAATGAATAGCTTAAGACTTCAGTAATATAACATAAATTATTCTGTTAATAAACGTTTGTTATAAGGATGCATTGGAACAATTTTGTTTCCCTCAGATTAATTCTGAATAAGCAGCTGGGAGATTTTTAGAGCCTGATTCACATTTCAGTCTTACCCGACCCTGATGCCTTAAAAAAATTGGATAGCATGCCATAGCGCAACTGGGGTTATTTTACCATCTTACAGCATATACATTTTAATGACATTTTTAATGACAGGCTTAGGGAACCATACATGGTTTTTGGGGGTGTTTTTTTTTGGAGGCACTTTCTCAGAAATGGTGGAACAAAAGGATCTGCAGAAACCAGGCAAACAGGTGGGTGTGGGCGGGCATCCAAATGTGTAAATTTACACTGGCATTTATACTCTCATTTGGGTTGGAATAGGTGGCCATTTGCACAAGCCTAGCTGACAGTCAGCCAGACTGTCATGGGACGTACTTCTCACAGTGGGGGTTATGTAGCTGCATTTGAAAACAGCCATCATGGCATTAGCATACTGTACAAACAATGTTTAAAAAGCAGTTGCACTGTTTTTTTCTTATGAGCTCCAAGGTAATACCTTCATGACGCAGTGGACCATTTGACTGTTCAGAGGGAAGACTAGTATCGAAGCTGCGAAGGGTGATAAGAGAGCTTTAACTGAAAATACTGATATGCTAATGCAGTGCAGGTTGTGCAGAACAGCTGGGCCCATGTGCACACAGAGTTCATTTTTAAAAGCAGCAGTTGTTCTGATCAGCTGGATTCTTTCCAGTGATCCGTCTCAAGGGCTTTCATCTTTAAAAATGAAGTCAGTGTACACAGTTACTGGAACAGGGAGCAGAACTACATGTGAAACACCTAATTATGCATAGTTGAAGTTATACGTGTATATACAGAAGTCTTCTTTCATATAGTGCCACTGGAATAGAGGTGGGCGTGAAACAAAATACGAACACACACATACCCTCAAAGCAAGAACTGGACTGGTTCTTCTGTTTGTGCAACCCATTTTGCCAAAATGAAATAAAGCACAGACCTTTTTTTCTGCTTGGCTCTTGATTTTGCTTCAGCAAAATGGGTGTCCCTTTCCCCTTCCTGTGGTGGAGGAGGAGGCAGGACCAGGTAGGGAGGCAGTGGGGGCAGTGGGGAGAAGACCGACAGGCAGCAGAGGGGGTGGAGGTATTACGTTCCCGTCCCTGCAGGCACAAACCCCCCCTAAAAAACAGACTGCAAACTAGTTTGTTTTTCTGGGTTTTGAGGATGGTTCATGCTCATCCCAATTTGTCATTGTTCTGGGTTATGCCTATCTCTACTCTAGAAGCATTCTGTACCAGGGCCCCAAGAACATCACATCTATGAAAGTAGTTTTAGTGAAATGCATATATTCCAGAGCTGAAGTCTTCATATGTGGTGAATAGACAGTGCCACAAAGACCATGGTCTTTTTCTTCCTTGTGCCTTTGCCCTTAAAAGTTGTCATACAAAACCTGGGCCACCGTTCTTCTTTTTCTTCGTTGCTGTAGTCAATTCAAGAGGAAGCAATTCACCAACCTTACTGAAAACATACTTGGGGTGTGTTGTTGCTATTTTTCTGCACCCTGTCTGAAATTCCACCACAGAAGCCTGACAGTTTTGCCTGCCAAGTTAGCAGAGATCAAGTTTTGTATTCCAGCTACTGTAGATGAATATAGGAAAACAATGCACTTAGGGTGAAACTAAAGCATTTATTTCTAAACTCCCTATAATGAACCATTTGTGTTTGATTCTGCATTCTTATATAAAGGATCCCAGTGTTCGGCCTCATGTCTAATGATATGCAGCTCAAGAAACGGCAACTATGACTTATGACTTGCTGCCTCTGCCCTGTGTCAAGTTTTCGGAACAGTTATTTTAGTTATTGTGAACTAAAAGCAGCAACACATTCTGCTCTTTGGATTCAGTGCTTTGATCCAGGGGAAGTCTCTCAATGCAAATTTGCTAAGGCAGAATCAACATTTTCCCACCCACCAAAATACCCATTTGACCTGAGTGTTCGGGTTTTTTTGTAGTTACCAAATCTATTTAACTGTTATTGTAGTGCTACACAGCAAACCATGAAAAACCATTCAAAGCAAGTAAAAGGCTTACCTTAAATGCTTTTAAATGTCTTACTGGTTGCCACTAAATGTTGCTACCAAGTTTTTTTTTAGGGTCCTGGTGGGGTTGCGTGATTCCAGTCCTTGACGCAAAGCATTAATTGCACATGCTATGGGACAAAAATAGTCAAAGTGGCCAACTTGAGGCCAGAAGGTGGGATGACAGAGAAATTTTATTTTTTTTAAAAAAAGTGCAGACTATTGATTGTCTCGGGCTCTTCGGACGTAACACCAAGCTGTGTCTGAATGTTGTATGAATGGACACTCAGGGACAGCTTCGTCACCTGACTTTCGCACACATCCTTTTTGCACACAATGATTCCATTCCTTTTTTCCTGTCTTGAGCAAAATGCAAGGTCGCACCCTGAAAATCAGGATTAGAAGCCAAGTTAAAAGTTTCGCTTCCAGTCCCAGTCTGTAAGGCAAACACAACTCATTGTATGTTGCTTTAAATGAAATGCTGAAACTTTAATCACCTAAAATCAAGAAAGAAGGCTGGAAGTGTTGTATCTTGGGGAGGATAAGAGATGGTTCATGAGCATGAGAATCAAGCTGCTTATTCAAATAATGTTGCACCATGGCTTGGCATTACATCTGAATGTTGCCCCTTTGGTTAAATGTCCATCTAGTTGTGTGTCCATATACACAGCACTGTGGACGAACTCATGAACTTTAGCAGGTGGCTTACTTTGAATCCACCCTTCAATCCATCCACACTTCTATGTTAACTAACAGTAGCTTTCCAAAGTTTCTGGGCAGGCTGCTCTGACCTATAAGTGCAAGGGATGGTGCTTGGGGATGTGCCGGAGTCTGCAATCATTACAGCCCCACCCTTTTAATATGAACCTGGGTGTACACATAGAGACCTAGCTGTCACATCCAACACTAAATAAGACTGCTCTTTTCCCCCTAGGATCCCTCACCCATCTCTGAAATCTTGATATTTGGCAAAGCTATGATCTACAAATACTAGAACTATGTGGAATACACAATGCTAGTATCTACAGATCATAAAACTTAGCTTTTGGGGGAGAAGATATACTCTTTTCTTGTGATTTTTCAGCGTTATGAGAGAAGGTTGCAAAAGGCAGTCAAATGTTTAGCCCCCTAAATTGAATTCTCCAACTCTTACTTTTCCACTTCAGAAAGAGCAGTGTGCTGATGCAACGTCTTCCGTACCAACATATTAATTAGCTATATTTGAATATGTTAGCATTTATTGTAATAAAAAATAACACATTGAAATTCATGGCTCTAGCTAAAGGGTTTCTATTTGTTTTGTATCCATCTATTTAAAATTTATTCAGATTGAAGCTACGTCATCTGTCACTTTGAATTATCCATTATCCTTGTGGGATATTGACCTGGACAACGTGTGGATTTCTGTGAATGGGTTTAGCTTTAGCTTTTTGAAATCTGTATATTTTACTTGCTCTTCTTTTTTTTTCTTTTCCCTTTCTCTACCAGCTTTTGGAAATGCTAAAACTGTACGGAATGATAATTCCTCCAGATTTGTAAGTATCTATTTAAATCATACAAAAACATATGCCATGGAGCTGACAGAGCTGCTACCCAAATGATAGAAATTGCAAAGGAATGTTGAGCTCATGTTCTATAATTATTAATCCTCCTTTTTTCCATTAGTGGTTGCAGTAAGGAAATGACATATAGTACAGTCCTTCCTCAGACTCTTCTGAGGCTCTTCTACGAGCGCAGCTTTCCTTCTCTTCACAAACTGATGTTGGGACCCACCCAACATCAAGTCACAGCCAGAAATGTTGAACCGAAGTCTCCATAGCTCCATAGCCAGGAATATTTCTGAAAGTAAGGTGAAAATGGTGACTGGTATTCTAAGAAACTGAATACCTCCTTGAACAGGAAGATAGAAAGTTAGTTAGCTTTGGCTGACCTTAGCTTCAAATCCTGAATGCTGTGAGAGGACCTGAAGTAAGCCAGAAATGCTCTTTGTCCAGTAGTACGTATCATAGCTTGGAGCCAGAGGACTGTTTCTGAGGTTTGAACAATTAACGTTATGACTACCAGTAGAAATGCCGTGTTGCATAATTCTATACAGGTAGTAATGTAGATGCTTAGACTTAACTGCTGAGGGAGCAAAAGCAAGTAATTTAATTACTAGAGTTCTGATTAACCTGGAATTTTTTTTAAAAGGTTAACTTCAAAGATGGCATAAGCTATACATTTTGTGTTTGGACTAGATGCAGTTTTGGAGTGGTCTACTCTTAGCCCAAAGGCTGAAATACAGTGGGAGAGAAATTTGGAACACTCTGGCTGTGCACTGACATTTTGGATATTGTTTTATCTGTTCTTGGGTTAGTTTTCAAAAAACAATGTGATGGAGGGAAGTGGTAGGGTTTTTTGTTTTTGTTTTTTGTTTTGGGGGGAACATAGCAGTAGACATCACTTTTACAGAGTCAGCTATCTTTTTAAGAAATTGGATTGGGGAAGCGCAGTGGTTTTGGTTCCTAAGAAATCTTCAGGTCCCCCTGTATGCACCTGTTGTAGTTGTTTTCACAGCATTCTTGTTCAGCGAAAGTTTTCAAAATGCAAATAGCAATGGGTTTCATGATTAAGAGGTATTTGGGTCGATTGTAGATTGCAATCAGGACTGAAAGGACTCAGGGAGGAAGGCAGATGAACAGCAGTGGGAGTTTGCACCAACAAAATCCTTAACCTCTCTTTCTTGACTGATAACCAGAACAGATACTCAGGCCTGGCATCTAAGTGTACTGGCTTCCTAGTTGTTTGGGGAGAAAGAGTCCTTGTGACAGCAAACTGCCATCCTTCCAGCTTTATGTTGGTGCTACACCATATACCCAAGTAGACAAAACGGGAACAAACACACTCAGTTCATTGACTCGGGTCATGCTGATGATACATGCCAGATCATCCCCTTTCATGTGTAATGAAGTGATGGATCAGCAGTGTTTTATTGTAGGTGGTCATGACATTTACAGGTAGTACCCCGAGGCTTAAGGGAAGTTTAATAGTGCATTATAAATTCTGCTAGCAGGAAAGAGCCTGGAAGAAAGGTTAGCACTCAGATAAGGTTAACATCCAGATACTATTATTGATCCATTGCTGCGTGCCTTGCTGCAGTATGGTGAGATATCTATTGACTTAGTGGGAAACACTGGGCAAACAAGAGGTGTTACACTCACCTTTAGTGTCTAGCAGCTTCTTCAAGGTGATTTACAAAACCAAGTGGAATGCAAAGACCAATATATGGGAAAACCCCTTAAACAACGGCTTCACTGTGTGCTGAAGCTCAGTTTACACACCATGGTTTCAGCATGGTTTAAGTTGTGGACATTGGCCTTATGCCTGCCACTGGTCCTCTCCTTTGCAAAGGGACCGGCTTTTTTTTCACACAAGGTCATGTGATGTTGATTCAAGAGATCGGTATCCATGGGTGTGATCTCCCGGCTTGCCCCCGCCGCCAGTCCACCTGGCCTAGTTCCTCTGTCTAATGCTGCCGCTTGATCCTGTTTCCTCTCCCAGTATGTGGACGGTGGCAAGAGCAAAGAGAAAGAGCAGTAGCCTCCACTTGTGCCCTCCTCCTGGGCAGTGCCACAGATTGGACTCGGTGGCAAAGGGCAAAATAGATGGGCAGCAGGGGTGTTGGAGGGAAGTATGGCCATTCTGGATCTGAAGTTCACACTCTTTTTCTGTTCCAGTCTCCTTTTTGCCTACTCACATGTTTGGAACAACCTGCTGAACTATCTGTCATGCTGTCTCCTTGGATGCACGAACTGTTCCTCCCTAGCTACTGATTTTTTTTTCCAGTACAGCCTTATCCCAGATCGACACAGCTTTGCTCTTTCTCTTTACAGTAGTCTGCTGCTGAGTAATCTTTCTCCACCCTCAGGTGGCTCTCTCAAATTCTCTCTCTTTATAAACAACTGCCTTTTGTCCCCTGGACTCTAGTCCTCCTGGACATAATCCACATAATTTCTGTAATTTCTGTATAATAAAAACAGAATGCACATGTATGTTTGTGATGATACACACGTTGTGCCCAAATGACAGCGGAAGTGCTGTTTTCTACTGTGTTATCTCACAGTATCCCATTCTCGGGAACTTAACAGGGTGTTCTTATGCTTGGAAAATGTATTAGACTTAAAATTTTTACTGTTTCAAAACTTTACAGCATACTTTGTAAGTATCCCATAGAACATGCTGTAGAAACATGTGGACAGTCTTAAACTGAGAACATTGTAAGTGAGGTGAACAAATGCTTTGCAGGTTTGAAAATCCATTGAAAGTAGTTGTAAGATGATCCGAGTTATTATCACAGGGACTTGCTTATAATCTGTTCTTTGATACAGGCTTTTCTTCTTTTGTCATTGTAAATAGCCCTGCCTGTCACTCCTACTTAAAGTAGCAGTTAAGTAAATAAATTGTGGTAAGGGAGCCACTGAAATGTTGTGCTCTCGTGTGGAAAAATCAGTCAGATGGTTAGGAATGAGACTCCCATGTATACGGCAGAATAAGAAACAGCAAGCGCAACAAGCTGGCAATATCAGCTATAGATAATTATGAAAAGGTATCCTGTACCTGGGCCAGGTACAGGATTTGCCTGTTAACACAGAAGGCCCTAAAGAACCGGTGACCAGGAGACCCGAGAGAATGGCTTTGTCCTGGCAGAGCTCTTTGGCTGTTTCAGGGATAATGAGTGAGACCTTCCTGGGTTTGTTACATTCTACAGATACCCACTGGACATCTGCTAGGAGGAGAGTAATTTCTGTATTGGGACCCTATTTATGGGGTACTTTGTTCTAGAGATAAAACACGCCAACTGTGAAGTTTGTATATATTACAGTTTCGTTGCTCTCTCTTCAACTAGATAGGCTATGCCTTTGGCCTCTTACAAGGCATCTGATCTTTCTTTTGCATCCTTTCTAAGTTTCACCAGGTTATATGGAAGAACTTGGGTTAGGTTTATTAGGTATACCTTGCAGTACGGCCAGACAGCTTGCCAGGGTCAGGGGACCAGCACTGAGTAGATTTTGATGTTCTTGGTTGAAGTACAGTTGCCAGTGTGAGCACCACGATTGACAGATCAACACAGGAGAAAGGTCACAAAAATGGCCTTGAGTGGTCCCAAGTCACCCATACCTGTATTACACTTTGATACGTGTATCAAGGCGATGAAGTTACTAAAGCTTCAAGATATGAGGCCAACTCGGTATAAACTTCTCAAATCTGTTCTTTTTGCAGGGCAAATATATGGATATCGAGTTTGATTTCAAAGGTGATCCACTTGGCGGAGTTATAAGCAATTGTAAGTCTTGGCAAAGATTTCTGTCTATAGACACATTTCATGAGTACCATTCTGCAACAAAGAGGAGGTGTAATGTATTACTGGGAATAGCTGTTTTGAGAAGTATCCAGGGGATATGTAGTGCCACAGATGCCACAGAGGTCCATTCCCCCTCCCCAGAACCAGCCCGATCCACTCACCGAGCCCCATGCAGTGCACACATCTGTGAGCATTGTCTTCATGCCAATCATGGAAGTAATGCAGCTGGCGCATCCCCACCTCTCCCCACAGCTGACCATTCCAGCGAGGAGGTGGGAAGTTGAGTCTCCCCACTCAGTGCTGAGCTTTCAGCTGTGGGGAGAGGTGGGGAAGCGCCAACTGTACTACTTCTGCCATTGACGTTATTTCGGCCACCCCAGGCACATTCGTTGTGCAGTGGCCATCGAGTGGACTGGCCAGTTCTGAGGGGAGGGAATGGACCACAAGTGCCATGTTTTGTGTCCGTATCCCCAGTGTATAATATGGTGTATAAACAAGCTAAGGTCAAGAGTAAACTTTAGCTGTACTGGCATAAGGCCTTTTCCTAAATCAGGACTGTGAATTAATTTCAGGTAGCTCATAAAGGTTGGGGTAGATTGGGGATTAACCCTTCTCTTGCCAGTTGCTTTTTTTTTTAAATCCCCGTACACCTTTACCATCTCTGCTGTGAGATACTGTATATGAGAGTACAAAGTTACTCACAGGCCTTGCGTGAAGAGAAGATGTATTTGTACAAAACAAATAGTGAGATTATGTCTTGGTTTTCAGTCTGCTGGATGGCAGAATTTATTTGCTTAATTTAAATGTTTTAAATTCTATTACTGTTTAAGTTGTTTAAGACATACTTCTATTATGGATGGTATCCTACCCTCAGATCTTTAGATGTAGTGCTGGCTACAAAAAATATATATAAAAATTCAAGTCCAAGACATCAATACCATCACTGACTTTGAAAATCTTTGAGCTTCCGCCTGTCCTGTCTTTGTTTCACCTGGGAAGTCAGCATCAGGAAGATGGGAGATCAGAAACTGCAAGAGTTGTTTCTTTGACAACTTTTAACTGCTGTGATTTTGTTTGGAATGATTGCAACTTATCCCTTGCGGAACAGCCAATTGGTTCAAATTTGGGAAAAGAGTGCTACAAGGCTGTATATTGTCCCCCTGCTTATTTGACTTATATGCAGAATACATCATGCGAAAGGCTGGACTGGAGGAATTTCAAACTGGAATTAAGATTGCCAGAAGAAATATCAACAACCTCAGATATGCAGATGATACCACTCTGATGGCAGAAAGTGAGGAGGAATTAAGGAACCTTGTAATGAGGGTGAAATAGGAGAGCGCAAAAATGGTCTGAAGCTCAGCATAAAAAAATACTAAGATCATGGCCACTGGTCCCATCACCTCTTGACAAACAGAAGGGGAAGATATGGAGGCATTGACAGATTTTACTTTCTTGGGCTCCATGATCACTGCAGATAGTGACAGCAGCCATGAAATTTAAAGACACCTGCTTCTTGGGAGGAAAATGATGACAAACCTAGACAGCATCTTAAAAAGCAGAGACATCAGCTTGGCAACAAAGATCTGCATAGTCAAAGCTATGGTTTTTCCAGTCGTGATGTATGGAAGTGAGAGCTGGACCATAAAGAAGGCTGA